TGATTCCTTTAACTTGGCTTCACTTGAATCTGAACAATTTTCGACAAATTTTCCATTTCGGGAAGGGATATCTTTTATACCTATTTCACTAATATTAGAGTTCCTTCTTAGTGTTATCAACATTAACGTGCAGTTTCGTTCTCTCTGTCGTAATAGCATAGGAAATTCCATCGACATGAGACTACTCCCAATTTTCCCAAAATTCATGGCCATTTATCTTAATAAACCTTACTCAACTGACGATTCAACTAAGTAAAATACTTTTGCAGAATTCAATAAACTGAATGAATCAAAATAGTGTTACTAAATATACGCTTAACTGCCAGGTCAAGTTTCATAATGAACGTTGTATGGTCATTGGCGACTACTGTACAAATACATTAGAGTGTATAACATGGGCTATTGACAAGATACAACTTCCACTTTTTAAAAAGTTCTCTTCGGTATAACCTCCATTGATGCATTTCCGTCAGACATATTGAGATGGCAAATATAGTCAAGCTTCTGAACTCTGTAAAAATTTAAACTACGGCTATTTTTACAATCAGAGAACATTACTGGAAAACAAAAATGGACTAAAATTCCAAAACGATGTCAGTTTTTAAAGGTGCTGCAGCGGAGGACTGTTTAATGGCCTTTATTGTCACGAATTAGCAAATTACTATTCATTAATTTTTTGCAGATGTTTGTGTGATTATATTGGTCACAGGCATAAAGGCCAAAACGAATTGTTCAGTTAGTGTAATACACCTGTATTCCCGGTAATTACTTGGCAGTCGCCGCCCAACCACTCAGCTTGTAATTAGGGCTGATCAGCGACTGCCACGCTTACTTTTACAAGGGACAACTCCCATTTCTTTTACTGTTTGTGCAAGAAACCATTTCCAGATCTATTTTAAGGTGAACTCGCGTGGTGCATTTCAATTCCCTACCAGAAAGGTGAAATTGTTCAAAGTTATAGAATGTTCGCTATAAAATCCAAGCCTCTTTTACTACTACGTTTTGTGTTTTACCAGGTGAACTGTTAACACTGGGGTAATTTAGATACTAGTGACGCGAGCCGTGCGTTGAAGCTTAAGAATATGAGGTTAAAGGTCTGTCCCACGCGGCATATGTGTTAAACTAAACAATGGGAAATGAGCAAGACATTTTATCTCGTATCCTGCTGCCTATTCCTATAAACCTTACGCCAACTTTATATTAATATTTGGCTCAGGTTAAAATCAAAATACCTCCTCTGTAATACCCTCTCTAGCTTACTCTTCAAATGTGTTAGCAAAGACCAATTGGAAGCGGGAGTAGAAGCCCTTCCAAAAGAGGTGACTTTCCGCCAGTTCGCAGGGATATTAATGTTAATATTTAGGGTTTGGGAAATGGTTAGGCCACGAGAATCCGAAATGTTCCTGTTTTCTGTCTTGCCGAAGGGCTTTCCGAATTGTAGCTGTTAGGAGTGGCCCTAACAGACGGCAATCTAAGCGAACGTTATACTGTCCGGATAAGGAAGAAGACTTGTCGAGCACCGGATCAATAGATTAATTGTCCTGAGCTTTCAAACTCTTGCAGGGGTCCATCTTCAGAGGTGAGAAGTAGCAACAAAACAAGGGTAATTATAGTGGCCATAAGCCAATCAGCTGTCAGAAATAATCAAGTTGTCAGGGCCTTAGAAACAGCTATCAAAAAGGATGGGTGAGGGAGCCAATAAGCTGTCAGTGGAGTCAGGGGGCAATTATAGTGGTGTACGCTAATTAGCTGTCCGTGAAGCAGGGGGTCATGAACAACTATAAGTGTGACGCCTTGTTACCCGTTCGAGGGTCCTGGTAACCCTGGCTCCTTTTCTGCTTGGCCCGTTGGGGGATCTTCTTTGGTCCTGTTTCGTCCTTCGATCTCATAATGGCGCAAGACTTTGTAGGCAGCAGAGAGGTCTAGATGCCTGTTGATGGAGTTGGCATTTGAGTTCCATGCCTCAAGCATCAGCCTTTCGGCTTTTGAGTTTCCTCGGCCTACGATGGTTGCTCCTTGGAGATCAAAGTTATGGCCAGTCTCCGCGACATGTGCTGCAAGTTGAGAATTTGGGTATATCTCTCAGCTGTCCGTTTGTGCTCGTGAAGACGGGTCTGCAATTTGCGGCCTGTTTCTCCAACATAATTGCAGTTTCCCTCGTTGCAAAGTATCTTGTAGACAAATGCAGAGGTTTCTGCGGGAGGCAGTCTGTCCTTAGGTTGCATCACGCGCCGGCGTATTTTCACCTGCGGTCGATGGGCTATGCCTACGCCAGCAGGACTCGTCCTACGTTGCATTGTCGATCGGCATAAACCGCCGGCCAAGATTAGTGCTCTGGTCTCCCAGTCAGGTGAAGTGGAAGCCGCTCGCCGTATTACCCCTCAAGGACACAATCTGATAGGTGTGATTGCATCTGCATGCACATGAGTTTGCTCGCTTTGAATAGCCTATACTTAGCACGCCTCTCTTGTTTTATGCTTCATTGGTGATTCAATCAAAGTGTAATTAGATAGTGGTATATAGGCCTTGGCAAAATTACAACATTATCAACCTTTTCCGGTTGCTGCATTTTCTTGGAAATTAACTACCCAACCTATATTCGGTACTGCAGCTCATTTTGGTTAAAGATATTGGCCACTTGTAGAACACACAAACGAACGTATCTTCTAGTGCGAGCGCCAGGGAGGGAGATAGTCAAGCAATCATCACGCCCCTATCCAGCACGGATGGTAAACATTCGACAGGTTACAACCAACAGACCGGCAATTAGCGTACAGTCGGTAACTGTTCTCGATATGGTGGAGCAATTTATTGTTATAATTATGCGCTAGTATAGCGGGAACATCCCATAAATATTGTAACTCTCTGTGCGTGAATAACCTGTTGCTTCTTTATTCAAAACGCTGCCTACATGTTTTATTTGACGGATAAATAACCGCTATATGTAAAAAGAGAAGTTGCTTAGCTTATAAACTGGAATTCCTATACTTGATAAGGTGAGCAACACAATTTTACCGACTATATATTATTTTATCCTATGAGGGAACCATTAATTGGTTTCCCGGTAAGATTAACAACTTCGGTCAACATGCAGTATTGCGAGTACTGCAAGAAACATTCATGACAAAAAATAACCATTATAAAGAGAAACGTATGTTCTTTCACCTCCAGTCAACTTGAATCGGTTATCTTCAGGTAACTTTAATAAATTGTCAAAAGTTTCCAATTTCATTGTGACATTACCTTGGAAGAAGTTAATGTACACAAAAATTCGTCAGCCGAGGTTACCTATTATGAAAAGTTTTTTTTTAATCTTAGGAATAACAATATCCGAATTACTTTGCGGACATTACTTACCCTCGACAATGTGGTTTGCTTTTTTGAGGCATTTCTTAATATGAGCAACATTGCTATCTTCATAAAAAATTATATCCAAAAGCATATTATTTCCGTAAATACTCTTTATACATTTATTATTTTAAAGGTTATGATGTAAACGTCGAACAGAAGCGCAATTTATCAATTTACCAATGAAGACACTGAAAACGAAGATAATAATGACAGACTCTATTCGACGATATTCAATTAATATTCATCCACTAATGGTTATAGGTAGAAAATATTTTGACTAAAGAAACGTTTTTTTTATATCAAGGAATTGATTCCACTCCGCTTTCAACTAAATAAAATATTTAAATTTATCGTTCTACTTTATTGCAATTGTTTACGTCTCCGAAACATGGGGTTAATCAGAATTTATTATTTTAGTTAAAAGCACTTAGTTCTTCTTACAGTTCTTTTAAGTTCTTAATATGCCTAATGCTTCTCATTATTATTCTTAAGTTTTTTTCGTAAATGCGTTCTCGCTGATATGTGAAAAATAATTAAACTTTTAGAAACTTAGGCAAGTTTCTTGCAGCACTCGCCATAGTGTATCCGCCTGCCACTGTATATTCCCGATCAAGTCATGGACAGTAATCTGGGATCAACATGCTGAAGCCTGCGTGCATCATAGCCGTCAGTACTGCGGATCTCTGTGTGTTTGTCGTTTTGGTTGGCGTTAATCAAGAATGCGGAAGATATAAGTTTAAGGAGCCTAAGATCGACCATGCTGCCCTGCTTCACTCCGACTGTAATTTTGAATTCTTCGACACCATCCCCTTCCGTCGTGTGGTTGAGGTACCATGTGTTTCAAATGCTCGGGGTAGCCAAAATTCCGTATGCAATTTTCCTCAGTCCATTGTGCTTCACTTAGACAAAGGCTCTCATCAGGTCCAGGAAGACATTGTAGAGGTGGTATCCACAGGCGTTTAGGCTACGAAGGTTTAATCCTAACAGTTACGATCTTCCAGGCCCAGTTGCTTAGGAGAGGAGAGAGAAGACGGTGGAAAAGGCAGATTGTTAGGAATAGTGTACTCTGCAGAAGAATAGGAGAACAGATGAAAAGAGTTTTGACTCACGGAATAGTGTATCCGTTCTCTATTCGGGTGGGCGTCCGGAGTGATGACAGCGTCGGGAATAGCCGGATGGCCGGCGCATGCTTTGTTACAGTAGTCAATCATACGGCTGATGTCTAGACTAGCGGTAGGGCGCGACCTTGAGATGGGCGAATGCTGGCGTGCACGAACGGGCCTTGCAGGCCAAATGCGTCATGCGTCAGCGGCTGATCTTGGGTTCCAAGTAGCTGCTAGGTCCACTACAGTGGCACAAACCTCTTATATCTTGCGCCGTAAAATTTAAACGTACAGAAAAAATCGATAAATCTCCTGCGTAAGTTCTGATTCGTCGCGTCAGCCATGACCATCTGGCCTTGCGGTGTTGGCATA